AAAATTTATATTATTAGACCACTTGGCTAATCTCGATTATATGCACAAATTTGGCTTAATAATAAAAATTAACAAAAATTTTGGATTTTCCCTTTTCTACTGACCACCTCCCATATATAATTTTATAAATAAAATCCAAATTAATAATTATTCAATAAATAATAATATTTATAATCAATTAATTGATATATAAATCAATTTAATAATATTTAAAATTTTTATTATTATTTAAAAAAATTTAATTAATTAATTAAAATGTTTATTTTATAACTAAATATTATCTTTTATTCTAATTATATAAATTAATATTTAAATATTACATCAATATAATCTTTTATCTAAATTATTAACATTATTAAATGCTTTAATAGGATTTAAATTATTTAAAACCTAATACATATTAGATATTAACTTTACCAAAAATATCATTGATTTGAAGGCAAACTTAATAAATTTAATAATAATCTTTTATTTTTAAGAACTATTACTTATATATAGCATTTGTAAAAGAAACAAAGTGTTGGAATACAACATTAAGTAGATTTTACCTTCAAAAATTTTAGAATAATCAGAATATGTCAAAGATTTTTTACAATATTTATTCTGATAAACAAGTGCATTTAGTTTAGCTTTCAAGTTAGTGTGGGAATGGTCATATAGACGTTTTGCAGTAAGAATGGAAACTCAAAAAAATTTTCTAATGTTAAACCTGGACTTATCGTTATTTACTAATTATCATATAAAGTAAAAAAAATTTGTTTTTTGCAGTTTCCCTTTCTATAGCACTAACCCCTGCAATTTCTTTATCATTTATATTGTTAACTTTATACCGATATTAGAACAGGAAATCAATCTTATTTTTTTTATTGATTCAGAACTAATAAAAATTCGATGAATTTAATAGGATCCTAAATCTTAATAGAAAGAAGTAATTTAAATTACTAAATATAGAAATATAATGATGCGATCAAATAACCAAGCTAGATCGAAAAACATCGGAAGTTAAAGTAGTATCACTAGTAATTTCGAGTTAAAATTTATGTGATAATGATATAACCAAAAATGAGAATTTATTAAAATTAAATTTGTAAACAACCCCTTATTGTGTCGCGTATGTAATTTATCAACTAAATGACGTGTCCTAATATCGCATATACCGGATGTTATATAATGAAAATTTTTGAAATTTCAAATACAAAATTACTCGTTTTTGACTTCATCTAAAATTATGAAAGAAAATCTCACTTTTGTTAGTGGTGTTAACATATCAATTGCATTAGCAAATAAAATAAATAAATACCATTTAACATTTAACGAAACCTTCCACCTCTACCTCCACCTCTTTTGAAATCCCGATAATCTGATGAAGGTGGTGAAGGTCGCCTGGGATCTCTTGTTGGAGGTCTATAATCTTCAGTTTCATGATGTCGTCTATCTTCTCTCACAATTCTTCTTGGCCGATTATGACGATTTCGATCTCGATCCAAATTCGGTCTATTATCTCTATTCCAATTCGGCCTATTATCTTTCTCCCGTGATTGTGGTCGAGGTGATTCATATTGGGAATGATTGAAATTTTGCGGATACGCGTTATACTGAGAAGACGATCCAATAGGCATTTGTTGCCTTATGGGTTGTTGTTGCGAAACGCCATCAGATATTACATGATGTCCATATTGTACATTTGGCTGTTGAATATTTGAGGGTGGTGGCATGAACGGTGATTGTCCATGAGAAGGACCTTGTTGAGAAAGAAATACTTGTTGTTGTGGGTGTTGCGGTGGTTGTATTGGAGGCATCCATTGCTGATGTGATGGTGGAACCATGGGATAATTTTGAGGAGCTTGGAGCGGTATCTGTGACTGCTGCTGTTGTTGCGACTGTGGTTGTTGTTGTTGTTGCTGTGAATTCCAATACAATTGTGATGGTTGTGAAGTCATATGTAATTGAGGTGGATGCACCATTGGTGGATTTGGAGGATTAGGAGGATATGAAGATAATCCGTAAAGCTCATTTGTAGAAGTTGTTATCATTGGTAGTGGTTGCGCAAGCGGAGTTTGTTGAATGCCTTGTGAGACATTAATATTTAAATTCGGATGATTTTGATTATTTGTAGTTAATGATGACTGTAGAAACGCCGGAATTGTTGCTGTAGTTACAGTAGTACCATTAGCAGAATTATGTTGATTCGTCCAAAAACTTGTTGAAGAACTAATAGAACTCGCTGTAGGAGGTTTACTGGTTTGAATCGATTCGTTATTATGAATGTTAGATCCAATATTTGGTAAGGCAATCACTTTTGCCAAGTTAGCCGTGGTATTGGTTTCGCTTTTTTCTTTTTTTGCTGTTCTACCATTTATCTCGTTTATATCGTGTATACGTTTTGTTTTATTTGATTCTGCCTCAACAATTATTACAGCACCCAACAATAACCTAGTTGGTCGCTTTTCAAGGGATAAAATTCCATCCAATTCTAAAAAAGTTATGACATCTGGAAGCTTGTCATCAGGTTCTAATGAAATTAAATACATATCTCTTACAGTACTATATGCGGGTGCGACACGTCCATATCGACGCTTCTTTATTTCAGCTGATTTTGGTGCATAATGCAAAGAATTAAATATATTTTCAAATTCTTCATTACTATGATTTTCACCAATGTCAAATTTAATGATTGCTATATCTTTATTAGGTGAACACCAACAGTCAACTAAATAATTGTCCACATCTTCAATTTTGGAAACATGACCATTGACGATAATAGATGATGCGAGATATTCATCCCAATTCCTTTTCTTATCACGTTTTTTCGCCGCGAGAAGGTCCGCATGTCCTGAAAATTCTCCAAGTTTCTTATCAAATACCAATTTACCCCTCCATACGGTCTCAGGTACAATATTCATATTACTGCTTGGAGGAGTTCCTATAGGAGTTCCAGGAGATTCGAATCGCATTTCGGAAGGACTTCCAGGAGAATATTGACACGATAAATTTGGAGGAGAATGCATTGGTGAATTAACTGATGATACACTTGGTGATATTAACGGACTATTTACTATTTCTTTATCATCCAAAACGATTTTGGGATGAGAATCATCAGGAGTATATATGATTTTATCATTATTATCATTTTTATCAGCAGATCCTCTAGTTAAATCCAAATTAGTTGAGATGTCACGAGCTAATTGATTGCCCTCCGAACTTTCATTTTTGGATGCCATTATATTATCGTCAATCCATTTCTTCGGAACTAAATCTTCAAATTTAATTTTTGGTCTCTCAACAGCAGGAGCGCTGAAATTTGCATAAGTAGGAGAGTTATCTTCAAAGTAAGTAGTAGTATCTTTTGGTGAATCTTGAGGAGAATCACGAACATTTTCAACTATGATCAATTCTCCTTTGTGAGTGGTTTTAATTCTTGGACCAGTATTTTCATGTTTCAAAATTGAACGTTGCAAGCTTTCTCTTCGTACTTTAGCCATTAATGCTTTCTGTTCGGGATTCGCTAATTCTTCGGAAGACATCATAACTAAAGTTTCGGGGGGAATATCACCAAAGAGTATTCGACGCAACAAATTCGCATTTTTGGGATCGTTTAAACTTGTAATTAGGCTTCGAACTTTAGTTTTGTAGTCCTGTCCGATAATACCCTTTGCAAATTTGTGGAAAATTGCATCTTCAATCTCATTTGCAAGTTGAAGTCCAAGTTCATGAGGATTTTTATCTTTTTCAGGATAATCAGGATCTTGAACTAGTTCCGTATATTTATTAGTGAATACTCCTTTAAGTTTCTCCGGAAACACACTGCGTATTTTTGGACGGTTATCACTAGAACTTGTAGTTTGTGCTTTATTATGAATCGAACCAGATTTTGTAGGAATGGACACAGCTTTTTTTATTGCGGGTGATTTTAGTTTTGGTAATATCACACGCGGTGTCTTTTTTGATTCTGCAACTGAAGGTTCGGGTTGATTTTGCACTAATTCTGTATCTTGTGATTTTTTGATTTCCAATATATGACCTTGTATAAAACATTTATTACTACAATAAGGGTTATTATCACGTGCTTTTTCTGTACAGTGTTGAAGCTTACACTTTGGAGACGATGGAGGTTCCTAAAAGTTAAATGCACGATATTATAAATACATGATGATCTTTTTTATTCTTTTGATATCATCATTTCTGCGCTTCAATGGAATTAAAAAGAAAATAATATAGCTTACGATTTGTTTTGGCTCCTCGATCATCAACGCTTTGGGATCAATGCTTTTCGTCTCGACTATAGGGCGATCTTCTAAAAAAAAGTAAAATAAGATTCTTATTAAGTTGTTGACCAATCAAAATAAAGAAAAAACTGAAATGGCGCAGCAATTGATACAAATAAAAGGTAAGTTTTGTCCAATGAAAAATCAATATGACGTAAATTACAATATCACACATATTATTTTTTATCATTGGGCGAAACTTTCCTAATATTATGTACAAACCGCGAAAGAAATGTTAAGATGATCTTCGCGAAACACACCTTGAATCAAACTTTTTAGAGTTCTAGATCCTTGGCAGTTTGGACACATATATTTTTCTATTTCTTTTGCTTGTTGTTTTGTTAAATTCACACACCTAATATGATACCTGTATTATAATAATTATAATGACATGATGCAAGTGATATAACATAATGAATTACATAAAAGTTTTAATTTCTAATTCGTTTACATTTGGGTCATAAAGTTTTACAACATAAAAAAATTTCTTCGTAATCTTTATTATTATGAAATAAAACTTGCCACTCGTTGCAGTAATCACAAATAATCATTGTTCCATAAGAAGGGCCTTGACAAATACAATAAGGTCCCTTATCTTCTGGTTCATTTTTTTCTTTTGGGATTTTTCTTCTACGAGGTTCAATACCAGGTGTCGGACGTAATTGATTTGCATACCGCGTTCCATACGAATGCCCTTGCTGTTGAACTTTCAATGACTGGCCAGGTTGGTCCATAAAGGTTGAATCTGTAAGATATTGTGAACCTGCCGCTACAGGATTTATTAGTGCTAATTGTGGGTTATTATTTTGGACATTTTCATGAATTATATGTGTGGATGAGTCCCATCCTTCTGAAGCAATCCGAGTATTAGATGTAAATTGATTTCCATTATCAAATGAATTAACATCTAAACCTCCAAGAGTCTCTACATCATTTCTCGAGGAGTCATTTATATATTGAGACATTGAAATACTATCTATTTCATTTGGCTTCATTATACTATCGTCCATTTCGCCATAAAATGGTAAATTTACATATTTGCTATATTCGCTACTTTCCATCTTTATTAAACTATGTAAGAAGAGTTTTCTACAAGGGTTTGAGAAATTCATATATATGTCAACAAAAAATACAACGAAGTTGTTTCAAAAGCACAATAAACTAATATAATTTCCATTCAATAACAAAGAATAAATTTGTACCTATTTGATCCGTTAACGTTAATTTTTTCTCAAACGTTGTAAGAAAAATAAAATAAAAAGTAGTTAAATTTTACAGCAAATAACGTTTCAAAAGTTTCTTATTATGAGTACTTGAACGTGTTCTTGAAACTTATAGTGAAGTGTAATCCGGAAAAAAAAAAAAAAATTCTATAAATTTTCGTTTTTATCCTTCTAAAATGTGGCTTGAGTTGTACAAAATGGTTGTCATACAAGATAATACTATAAATGAAAGATTATGAAATGTCACATGTATAATTTGTTCATATTCTACTTGATTGATTTTGATGATAATCAGTGAACTTATCAATACATCAACTTATACTGCGATTAGTAAATATAATAAACTTAAATGTTAATTAAAAAAATTTATTAAAATATATTAAATTTCTTTAAAAAATTAATAAATTTAAACTCTTATGATCAAAAAAAAATTGGTATGATTATAAAAATGCTATGATATGACTATAGAAGATGAATTTAATAAGTTTATTAATAACTTTAGCCTAATAGAAATTAATTTATTTATTTTAATCAAAAAAAAATTTAAAAAAAATTTTTATTAAATTAATAATATTATAATTTTATGAAATTTTATGTTTTTATTTAAAATAACTATTATAAATCTAATATTAAAAAATAAAATATATTTAAATTAAATCAATATATTAAAAAAAAAATTAATTATTAAAATTAATATAATATTATATGGGTTAGTATGTACAAAAATCATGCTGCAGGACTATATAAATCATATGATCAAAACCTGATTTTTGTACGTACTAACCTATATAATTTAATTAATTTAAAATTGATAATAATATATTATAGTTTAGCTTAATCATAACAAAAAGGTTAAAAATAGTTTATAAAAAAAGTTAAATAAATAAATTATTTTAATTTAAACTTACTTTTTATTCTTTATTCTTAAAAGAGTTACCTCAAAGAAAAATAATAAAATTTTATATTAATAATTTAATTTTAATATATATTATTATTAATTTAAATAAGATAAATTTATAGGGATCGGCGTCCCTGGCTCAGTGGTTAAACCGTTGTTAGCTTAAACGGTTCGTCGTTAAGTTAACTAAGATTATTTGCTAACAGGGAGTTTAAGTTCGTCTAAAC